CGCCCCTCTTTGGCAAACGACAAGAATTGGACGTCCACTGACATTCTACCAAATGAAGCTGTAGGCTTTATGCCTGTCCCCACATGCGTTGACCAGTCGTTTGCTGTAAAAGATCCGGGTGTGGTATCAGTGGATGTGTCAGAGGAAAAGTTCAAAAGCGTTGAGTCTGTTCCCGTACGCGGTGACCAGTCACCTGCGCCGAAAAATCTGGAATCGGCATCGTTGGACATGCCTAAGGAAAAGTGCAAAAACATTCAGCCTGGTCCCACGAGTGTTTGTCATTCATCTGCGGCAAAAGATGCGGAATCGGCATCAGTAAAAGCGCCAGAAGAAAAGTCCAAAAGTGCTGAGCCTGACCGTTCCTGCTCGAGTCCGGCGAAAGATGTGGAATCGACGTCCATCCTTGTATTAAAAGAAGAACCTCAAGAAAACGTACCTGATTCAGATTGTACGATTCCTTCAGCTTCGGCGAAGATTGCAGAGCCGGCATCTATCGATGCACCTGAAAAGGTATGTTCTCCTTCGCTCTGTGTTTTTGCATCCTTGTAACTTTTGTAAGTGGCAGTGAGAATGATTATATTCCTGATTCACTCTCCTAGCGAACGCTTCATTATGCATTTTGTGCTGTGTAACAACAGTACAAAGCGCATATTGTCACGGGTTTGTCTGTATGTGTGTTTGTGTGTGTATGTGTGTCCGCAGCAACTTGTCCGCAACTTTCAACTCGGGAACTACAAAAACTAGAAAACTGAAAATTTAAGGTAATGTTCCTCACCCACTTGAGACCCAGAAAATTCAAATTCAGCCCTCTCCTGCCCGCATGTATGGCCCCGTAGAAGTTTTGGCGGGTAAAATTATTATCACAGGAACCACGAAAGCTAAAAGGCTGAAATTTTGTGAGTATGTCTCCTGCCCATGTACGACCCAGAAAATTTAAATTCAGCCTTCCCCTGCCCGCGGGTAACCCGTGCGGACCGGCGAAACTTTTGGCGGCTAAATTTTTATCTCGGGAACCACGGAATCTAGGAAGCTAAAATTTCATGAATATGTTTCTTGCCTACGTGCTACCTCGCAAATTTA